CCGCCGCCTACCCGACCGCGCCGCCGCCGCCTACCCGACCGCGCCACCGCCGGTTAGAATATTTTTTTTCTTTTTTTTTGTCCTCTAAAAACGATGTGCGTCTTATGGTCAGGTGCGTCTTATGGTGCGAAAAATACGGTACATCACAAGTATGAAGATGATAAAGTCCAAACTCTGTGGTGGAAATACCATCAAAGAAACTAAAGGTAAAGGTTTCCCTGTCCAGTTATGTATACTCATCTTTGTTTCTTAGCCAGTGTTGTCCAAAGACATTTCCATGGTTATGTGGCATTGAGATTTGATTACCTGAATATTAATGATGCAGATTAGTTTTTTGGGGATAAACATACATTCAGTTCTAAGGTAATTTAAATAGAAGCCTACAAAATGCAAATAAAGCAAATTGTTTCTGAGTTTGTAAGGACTGTGAAATTCTTGGTATCTACTATGATTTCCAAATCAGTAAATTTGAGGAATGCAGCCAGAAAAAAATTATCTTCAAACCTCTTCACACTTATATTAGTATTTAGAACATAGAATCAAAGGGCTGAAAGGTACCTCAGAGGTCTTCTGGTCCAATTCCCTACTCAAGGCAGGAGACCGTATTCCATTCAGTCAATGTGAAGGATATATGCATATAATGTATGTTTTTACTTGTGCTTTTTACTTGTGCATAGTGTGCACTGTGAACAGCACTTAGTTTCGTTGTGGGATACACAGTGACAATAAAGATATTCTATTCTATTCAAATGGTTGTCCAGTCTATTTTTGAAAATCTCCTGTGATGGAGGACCCACAACTCCAGGAGGCAAGCTATTCCATTGTTTTCACTGCAGGAAAAATTCTCCTTAGTTCTAGGTTGGAACTCTCTTTGACAAGCTTCCACCCATTACTTCTTTTCCTGCCCTCTGGTGCTTTGGAGAATACGTCAACCCTCTCTTCTCTGCGACAGCACCACAAGTACTGGAAGACAGTTATCATTTCCCCCCTAATCCTTCTGTTTGGTAGACGTACTTAGCTCCCTCAACTGTTCATCATACGATTTAGCTTTCAGACCTTTTATCATTTTTGTTGCTCTTCTCTGCATACTTTCTAGGGTCTCAGTCTTTTTGGTATTTGGCACTTCTCGTGTTATTGATGTTATCACTATTTATGTAGTGGTCCATTAGGATACCTAGATCTCTCCCACAGTTAATACTTTTGAGCCAAGTTTTAATTTTTAATGTTCTACCAATCAACTTCATTCACTGTCTCTTTTCAGATACAAAAACATCTTTTATTTCTGAGCAGGTCCAGTGATCAGCTATTCATTAAATGCTTGGAACTGCAAAGACAGGGAACCACAACTCAAGAAAAGATAATTCAGGCTAAATGCACTTGAAATCGGGAGACTTGATTAAATTGCTTTAAAATTATGCACATTTAGTTGGAACTCTGTTTATTTCATGAGACCTAGTAGTCCTCCGTTAGGTCATTCCTACAAGAACCACGCTAAGCGGCTACTTTCAATTAATGGAGATGGTCTGGGAGAATACGATAGATGATAGTATCAAAACACATTGAAATGTCGAGGATCAATAGTGTCACGCTCACTCTACCTCCCTTTATTGAAGTTATCTACCAGTATGACTGTGATTTTGTTTCCCAACAGGAGACAAAAGCAATTTCACTCATCTGACTTTGCTAATTTGCTACAGATTTTAAATCTCTTTCAGCCAATAATGGTTTTGTGGTGTTCAGGTCTAAAAGGATTACACTGAGTCACTGAATGTTAATGGTTAGTATGACTAATTTACATGCTATAAAAATGCTGTTTTGTAACTAATGAACAGCACAGATATTGTTTGACTCCTTTGTTATTTTGATCCTCTTCTGTTCTTTCCACTGTAATAATTCCATATCCGTTCTCAAAGATTTCCTCAAGTTGAAGGTATGCCAGAGGATCCTCCTGACAAAGTGATTTTAAATATTCTGGCAATTTGAACTAGAGAATCTATCAACCACAGCCTCCCTGTGACCTGTATAAACAGATTTCACAAGTAGCATTCATGAGAATGTATCATGTAATAGCTTACATCAATCTTGCTGAATTTGGTGTTCTCCAGATATTTTGGAATTACAACTCCCAAAGTTTATAACTGTAAACAAACAAGTCCAGGTGTGGATCTCCTGCAACTACATTTCGTTGTTTCTGAGAAAAAGCAAAAAGCCCCTTGCCCTTCGCAAGAAAAGCAGTAACACCCCTACATCAGCAATGTTCTACAAATAGAAATTAAAAGCTTTGAGAGAACCTATGAAATGCTTGGCACAATCTCTGCAATGAGAAAGGAAGTATAAATTCAGTTGCATCTGGAAAGCAGCTTAAATTTGGATTGCATTCTTTGTTATTTACTTTCTAGTCATACAGTAGATCCAGAATGTGCCATGTATTCATTATATGCCTACATATTCCCCCTCCTGTATTTGTCCCGACCAGGAAATTGTAAAGATCAAGATGATTCCAACAGCAAAAGAAAATTGGGTATTCAATCAGAGGAACTTAAAAGGAATGGCAGACCCAAACATATATGTATACATATTTTCATCTAAAACATTTTAAGCCGATTGCCCCAGATTCCAGACATTGCAAACTGTAAGATGCCCACAGATTTCTCTCCATCCACAGATTGCCCAGTCCTCTTTCTTAGCATGGAGCTTTTTGTACATCCCTAACACAGAATATACAATATATGAACAGCATTTAGCAAGCCTGTTGCAATTCAAATAATTAATGATTAAACAGAGCTTCATATGCAACAACATTGACCTTGAAATTCCTGTTTTAATTTATATTTTAATTATAATTTATTAAATTATGTTTTAAATCAAAAATGAGAGAATGAAAATTCATATAGTCTCTGAAGATTTATTCAATAAGGTCAGAGGGACATATCTGGAAACCATAATTTTCAAAATATATCAAATTATATCACATGATGACTGTGGCAGCATTTTTCCCTAATGGCAAATGAATGCATTGGGCAAAGAGGGCTAAAACATTATTACTTTCATAGGGAAGTTCAGTTCAATGTTGAAGAGGGTGCAGACTGCCATAATTTCTATTTTTAAGCATACATATGAGAACTATCAGTGGCTGGAAGGCTTGTTAAAGTTTTGAAGAATTTTGTGAGAAAGGATGAATAAAAAATGAAAAGAATAAAGTTCTAGGATATTAGTTGAATGGACTAAAGATCAAGATTATTAAAATAAAAGGAAAGAATATAAAGTTGGTTGAGGAATATAAATTGAAATATGTGATTTCTAGTAATCTAATGGACTTTTGCTGATCAGGATTGAAACAATGTTTTAAAGATTTGTTTATAGATAAGAGATGAGCTATGGGTATTGATCATTTGTTGTATTTTTTAAAAACGTGATAAGTTATTAAAATGGTTTGTACTTGTGATGAAGATGTGAAAATTCATGAAAATCCATATTATATCAAATTTAAGAATTGATTAAAATTCCAAGACACAAGTTGTAAAATCAAAATTTATTCTGATTATTATATTGAAATGCCTGCTGTTCAAAGAAAAAAATAAAATTTCTGACTTCATATTAAACATTTTAAATTCATTGTTTTAAATAACTGAGGTTCCTGGTTGTCTAAAACACAGCCACAGCCAGCAAGCTTTTTTATGCACAGAGGCAAGGAAAGAACTGTTCGTTATTTAAACATTCTATCAGTCTATATGTGGTTAGACTCAGAGAGCATCTCTCCTTATTACTTTATATATACCGACAATTTATTCTTTATTTCAGACACCATATTGATTGCAAATAAGCACTTAAGGAATCAAATTAAATGTGATGAATAAATAGGTCACACTTATGCTATTTTAAATAAAGAACACACGTGTCTCATCTTCATGAAACAAACTTAAATGGAAAACTAAGGCAACAAAAACTATTACAATTTTCCATTGCACCTACTAATTTTCAGTTATGTTATGTGCACATCTATTACTGTTTACTATTTAAAGAACACAATCTGACACAAAATTATATACCTTAAATTTTTGATGAACAGACCCCACCATTCTCTCTCACATAACAATTTGCACATTTTATAGGCTTTTGCATTTCTTTAACCTTCTTATTCTTATGTATTTTTATCTTTGAACAATTACCTGAATCCCCATAGAGTGAAAAGTCTTAGTAGGGTTAATGTCCCTCTCCCCCCAAAATAGGCACTTTTCAAAACAGAAAAGGCAAGGAATTATTTGCCACTCTCCTTTTCAGAGAGACAATGAAAAGTAATTTAGGAGCAGGTCACAATCATAATTTAAAATAATCACTTATCCCTCAGATTTATAAAACTGAGTTAATTCTTAGCCTAGTACTATTCTGGGAAAGACCATGGGATCCCATATTGCTTTATGCTCTGTTTTAGAAGCAGATTCAATGTAACCAATTAACCTTTAGCACAATAAGGCAGCAAAAACAAAAAAAACGAACACCAGAATAAGAACAGAAATAATAAATGAATATTGTGAGGAGCCAAAAAAGACTCCCATCAAAAATATACAAGTGCCAGAAATTAGGACTACATATTTTACAGACTAAAGGGAGCCTTCATGTTAGTCTGCAATATAATTATTGGTAGACACAGAAATGTTTTTGTTTTTTAAATCTTCTAGATATCCAGTCACCTGAAACATAATGGTTAAGAACCATAGCGGTCCTAGGGAAAGATAAAAAGAAATGAACAGGTTACATTTCTCATCAGCAAAACTGCTCTTATTTATATACAGCGTTTTCGTTTTAACTTTGCCACAAAATGAAACCTACACTCATGTTATTTTGTATCCACAAGTTCATAATAATTTGGAATTTACAAAGCAATTCCTCCATCCTTGGAAAATTAAGGTATATTTGTTTCTGAAAACACTGCAGGCATAACTACTGGTTAACTAGCCACGTTCATAGGCAACTTAATAAAGCAACCTGAAAAATGTGTTAAGAACTTTTTGTGTTTTTTTTCTTCATTTATTTCACAAAAGATATTGGCTGCCCTAACAAAAAAGGGGCTTTCCTTTTTTTAGCTATAAAACAATCCCTTTGTGGCTAGGCATATATTCTCATTGGCAGGTTCACAGTTCTTCCACCTTTCATACTAAATGACAGGACTAAACTGTGAGCAAGATTGCATATGGGACCATTTCATTTTGGAAAGATTCCAAATTTGTAAGTTTATTTACCTGAATAGAAGTCATGACTCCATTTGCCAGGACAGAAAGCCTTCCAGCAACAGACTTCACTCCTTGTTTAAACTGAGTCATATCAGGAGCAGAAGGCAAGACATTTGAAATATTGTAATTGCCTGAAGACAGAAAGACAGAAAAAAAGAAAGATTTTAGCACGTAGCTCCATAAAACCATTTGAAGGGAATAAAACTCAACATAATAAATAAAGTTGATTTGTATCGAAAAGATCGTTTGATCCTTGAACAAATAGCCAGCTTCTACGTAGATTTTTGTTCAGTACTCCTTCCACACAATAAAGTCTTTCCTTTTAAACGACCGAAGACGAGGTTAAACCCAGAGAAATAAAGCTTGTAGTAACTCTCACAAACTAAAAATGGAGAATGAAACATGGGGAGCGGGAGAGACCCTCCGCTTGCCTCATTCCAAGGCTAAAGGACGGATTCCTTCGAAGTGTTCCACGTTCTCTACCTTTAGGAAACCTATAAAGCTACACCTTATTTGCTGGGCTTTTAATGGTTAAAGCTTTCATTATTTGTGTTCCAATTAATTTGTTATTGCTTTTTCTTTTTTTAAAACCTTGCTTATCTGTGCTTTAAATTGAAAGCCACCTTGAACATCCTTATTCAACGGAAAGGTTACGTGGAGCGAGCCAGGTGGTTTTCTTTGCAAAAATGGGGAACTGGTATGACATTGCTTTCTTCAAAGATACCGTAATGTTTTTGACTTCTCAGTGCAACTTACAGTGGCCCTTGTGTTATGCCAACTCAGTCAGCAACCGTTCAAAACTAAGATTGTGCTAAACAAAGGGGGATTTAAGACCACTCCAGTTCTGGCTGTTGCAGTTTCCCCACAATCACATGACTGCGATCCAGGCACTCGGGTGCTTGTGATTATGATGTAATGAACCATGGTCCTGTGATTGCAATTTACAACATTTCCTGCTGGCCTCCACAAAGCCAACGGGGAAGCCAGTACGATGTTAGAAATCAGCCCGGACACTTTTTTTGTCTGCCTATGCTCCATAGCACTAACTGACCTCCACACAGTCACCTGTGTTCTCTAGTGCCTGCCTACAGCAATCTCTTCCACATGCAGCATTCCTGCATACCCTACTTGCACACTCATCCCTGCTTTCTTGTGCCTGCCTATGGCATCTAACCCTGCTCTGTAGCACCTGCCCAGAGTACTCACACATTTACCTGCTTGCCTGGGACTTCCCTATCTTTCTGCTTCATGATCTGTGAGGTCCTGGGGTTACTACGGCCCCCAAGACTGCCAGGATTGCCTTTGCTGAGCAGTGCAGTCACATGATATTACTCTTTAAGGACCACATTGCTTAGTGATGGTAATTCCAGTCTCAATTGCTGTTGTAACCCAGGGACTATTTGTACAGCCCTGAAATGTCCAGATGGTTTCCCCATTCAAGTACTAATCAGAAAAAGGAGGAACAAGCCACTTCCGTTTTGCAGAAAAGCAGGATATAAATAATATTAAATTATTAAAATTGTTACAAAAAATAAATGATTAAAAGTGAATTATTACTATTAATAATAGCAATAGCGCTTAGACCAGTGATGGCAAACCTTTTAGAGACTGAGTGCCCAAACTGCAACCCAAAACCCACTTTTGCATCTCGAGTGCTGGGTGGGTGTGGCCCATTGGCTGGGTGTGGCCAATTGGGTGGCCGTGGCCCATTAGGTGGCCGTGGCTGCTGTGGTAACGGCAGACTGGGTGGGACTAAAAAGTTCAATCAATCAATTCCAACTTTGCAAGATCTTTTTTTTCCCACGAGAAGTTGAAATTGACTGATTAAACTTTTTTTTTTTTTTTGCACACGGCGGCAGAGGCCTAAAGCGAAAAAGTTTTATAAAACCCAGCTGAAGGCCTAGGACTGGGGCGACGGCGCACGTGCCCACAGAGAGGGCTCTGAGTGCCGCCTCTGGTACCCATGCCATAGGTTCGCCACCACTGGCTTAGACTTATATACCACTCCATAGTGCTTCACAGCACTCTCTGAGCAGTTTACAAATATCAGCCTATTGCCCCCAACAATCTGGGTCCTCATTTTACCAACCTATGAAAGATGGAAGGCTGCGTCAACCTTGAGACTGTGGACAGAGTTAGCCTGCAATACTGCATTTTAACCACTATGCCACCACAGCTCATAAGGTACACCCTTATGGTAAAAAGTTAATTATATATGGTGGCATAAACATTCAAACAAAAAACAGTAACAATATGGATATGCACACATAAAATGAGTGTCAATGATGACACTCATTGCGTCATCAGATAATCGCCCGGCCGCCCTCTTCAGGGTGACCCGCTCTCTCCTTCAATTGAGGGGGGGGGACCCCCTGGAGGGGAGGGCCGAGGATTTTGCGCAGTATCTGCATGACAAAGTCGCTCGGATCCGAGAAGGCTTGGACTCTGACTGGTTGGCCCAGGGGGAGGAGACGGGAGCAGGTCTTGA